TGCTAAACTGGGGCCTTGAACATGCATTACGCAGTAGTGACACACAACCGCTCGGCGGTACGATGCTCATGCAGATCGAAACAAGCAGGGGTGGGGATTGAAGCGCGAGCTTTCGCTCCACATGCTCCGAACTGCGGTGTGCCTATACACTCGGCCACCAATACCCCCCCCCCCCCCCTTCCCCTCATCGGTGCACTCATGTGATGCATCGAAAGAATTATTCTGAATGCACCACTTAGTTGTGTATGAGACAGACAGGATGGAAGAAAAATTCCGAAGACGCCTAAGCACTTCTAATGAGTTTTAAATGCGAAAGAATGAATGTCATTCTTCCGCTCCCTTAGTTCGTTTGCGGCGTACTGGTGTGGACGGCCACGTTTCAGTACTGCCGAGGAAGCGGCGGACAGCCGAGCGCGCTCTCGTGAAGTAGCCGTGCCGCGCTGAGCTCGGCTGTGCAGCCTCTCCGGAGTTTGCCCCTGCGGGCTCTACAGTCAGCCGGAGCCCCTCTTACCGGCTGCCGGGCTGCTGCGTTCGCTGCGCCGCCATGGACAGGGCTTCTCTGGTGGTGTTCCTTGGAACTACGCTACGCGAGAGCCAATGGGAGCCTTGTTCCTTGAAACTATGACGCGGGCCAGCCAATGGGAGCCTATCTATTAGATTTCTACAACAGACGACAAAATTCGCTCCATTGGCACAGGGAAGGTGCCGTTTGATGCGGCTTCAAAAGCGAATGACATTGGTTCGCTCCATGGGACAGTTAATGCTTTCGCACAAAAAGAAACGAAATTGTGGCTTTATAAAGATTGGCAGCGGTTGTGGATGAAGTCTCGCTTACGTGCACCGAGCCCATGAGCACGCGGCGGCCATGCGAGCCCGAAATTCTATATTGCAATTGAAGGCAACAGATGTCCATGTGCAACCAGCATTTTATGACACAAAACTTTTGGCACGGTAAAGGACAGAATGTCCAGAGAAATCCACGAGGCATCTTAAACTAGGTATAAATGCACAAATTGCGTCTGCGAAACAACGTCTGCAGCATTATATATAAAAAAAAGAGTTCGAATTTATTGAACAGAAATAATATGAATACAACTAGGAACTTTTTATATTACTTTTATTTATAGGTGTTGTTAATGAAATTCAGTGGCGCGGTCACTTTGCTTCGTTCTACTTGTTCCGTCCTTGTCATTTCTGGCGCTTTTTTAACACACGGATATGAACCAACTGGCCAAACTTTCTACTCTGCGGCTGCGAAACATTTGTCTTGTTATCGCGACAACCTTACATATATTTCTGTTAAATTTAAGGATGTATTCATTTGTTATTTGTATATATAGAATATAATAGAAGTTTTATTTCCAATCCATACATTTTCAAAAAGTACAATGATGAGCGGGTGCAAGCATCAAGGGCTTGTGTACCTGGCTCGGCACAGTAGGCGGCCAATTCACTATGTCTAACATGAGTATAAAATGCTTATTCACCGTCGAAATCACTTATTCAAGTAAAAGGAAACGATTTTAAGCAGGGATCAAGAAAAGAAGAACGATAGACGACATCACACTGGAGAACAATACACACTGTCCCGAGAAAAAAGAAACAGAGGGAAAAGAGTAACTACCATCTAGTAATCTAAGTTCACTGGTCTAAATTACGTAGTGCTTTTTGAAGTTTTTGTCTTGATGTGGCAGCAAATAGGAATCCTGTCATGGCTGTTAGGTATATGAGGCACATAATAAATACGCGTACGTTCCCCATTTTAGTTCGAATTCGCGGCATGTTAAATCGAAGTGATTGTCCATAGTGTACGGAGTAATGAAATTTGGGTTTTAAAAAGGTTGCAGTACTACAGTCTCCTTAAATAACCCCAAAAACGATGGTAACTTTATATCTTTAAATATACAAGGGCTAGAGACATCGGCCCGGCCAAAGGCAATAATCTTGAGGATACCCTTCGATAAAGAATTAACTCTATCTCGCGAATATAAAGAACACCCTGCGAAGAGGGTTAGGCCGTATTGTATGTAACTATATGCCAAAGCGTGTGTGATTATCTTCCGAACGGAAAAAGGCATAAACATTTTAACATTGTAAAGACAGTACGAAACACGTCTTAATCGTTTACAGAAGTATATCATATGCGTAGACCACGTGAAATCGCTATCAAAATGTATCCCTAAGTACTTTATTAAATTGACATACTGAAGAGGAATGCAATCATATGAAATGTAACTAGAAGTGTTAATAGCTACAGTAGTTGATAGTTCGACCTTTTTTGTGGGTTTTTAAAGTAAACTAGCTTAGTCTTCGACGAATTCACTCTGATTAAGTTTGACTGAAACCAGTCCATTGCGAGAACGAGGTCTTTTTGTAATTTTTCAGTAGCCACATCATAATTCGCATGGCTTGAAACCAGAACCGTATCGTCCGTGTATTGGAATACCCTACACTCGGAAATAGCAGAGGGAAAATCATTCACGTATACATTCAACGATGAAGGCGACAAAACTGAGCCTTGTGGCACCCCGGCCGTAAGGCAAGCTCTACTGCTCTTGGGATCTCTAAAAGTCCCAACCTGGGACCGTCCTGAACAGTATCCTTTTAGAATCGAAAGAAAAGGGCCTCTGAAACCGAGTCCGCACAGTTTGGAAAAAAGAATTTCGTGATTTATGCTATCAAAAGCTTGTGATACATCCAAGAAGACTGCACAAGTTAGCATATTATTATCAAAGCCTGTGTGTAAGCAGTCGGTGAAATTTTCCAAAAGGGCCCGCGTTTCTCGTTCCGCAACGAAGCCGTACTGGTGAGCAGACAATAAAACAAACCGTTCTACGAAACTAGTCATTACTTTTGAAAGATGTTTCTCTAGAGTTCGTGAAAGGCATAATACAATTGATATTGGACGATAGCTTTTAACATCGTCGACTTTCCCTCCTTTATGGAGTGGTTTGACAATGGCGGTTTTCATTCTTGACGGCCGCTCTCCCCTGTCAATGATACTGTTCAAGATTGCAATGATTGTAGGTTTAAGTTTTTCAAAATTCCTCCGGAGATTGCGCATCCGAGCCTCATCAAAACTTGGGGACTTCCTTAAACGAAAGGAAATAATCACGTAGCTCCCTTTCCGATATTCGTGGAAGAAAAGTTGAGACTTCATAATATTTAGGCCAGGTAATGTTATTAACGTTATCACGAGCCTGGAGTGCCCCGGATGTGCGAGAAAATGAGGCGCTGAATTCGTCAATTGTTTTCTGTGTAGCAGGCGCAAAGGATGTGTCTATCATATCGTCAATAGAACGTTTTTTAGTCCCTCCTAGAACTCGATTAGCGCACTCCCATGTTTTTGTGGTATCGATACAATGCCTTTGAAATTCTCCCTTGAAATATCTGCGTTTAGAAGAACGAAGTAGGGCGAACGCCTTGTTCCTGGCTATTTTGAACTCGTCCTTTAAACTTAAAATACCTGGAGAACGTTTACAGCGTCTCCAGAGAAAATCTGTATACTTTATAGCACCTAAAATGTCTGACGTAATTCATTCATGATCCTCCTTGCGCCTTTTATTGTTTACTTTTTTTTTTGCATGAAGACGAAAGTTGCGAAAATAGGTCTACTATTGTATCGTATAAAATTGGTGCTTCCACCGAAGTTAAAAGACCATCCCAGTCGTAGTCATTCACTTTTTTATCAAACTGCGCTTCATCAATAATTTTTTTTGTAGTGCTCGAGCTTTTCCCCTTTCTGTTAGGTTTAACCTGGCAGGCTATGGAATAATGATCAGCGGATTTGTCTTATATCACAGCCGCTTTCATGGTGCTGTCGAAAATCTGGAAGTGGCAGTTTGATACTTTAGACCCATGTTACGGATAAAAAAACAGGAAGCGGGATGGCCAAAAAAACATGTTTTTCGTTTAAGGCTCGTCAAATCATGAGGCGCTGGAGAAATGTAGCCTTCTGCGTTGAGTCCTTATTTCGAACTCTTTTTGTTCGCCTTCCGCCCATTGAAAAGCATGCGGGAAGGGCCTTAGAACGCACCTGGTATTGCTGCGCCGACGCGTTCTTCCGCAACATAAAGTTCGTCTGCTTTCCTCGCCGTCACCATGACAACGAACGCCGAATGAATGGAAGCACGCACGGTACCGCCGCATGAAGCCAGCAAGAGCTGACGCTATTTTACAAACGGCGATACCGTGGGTTGCTAATAAGTTCAGATAATCACACACTACATGACGCGAGGAATCCACCGTATTTATATTGAAGTCGCCTAACAAACACAGCTGCCCTGTCGGGCTGAATTCTGATAGAACTTTAGATAGTTCTTCCAAATACAAATTCGCGTTGCTCTCTTTTTTTATGGTACGCTCGGAAACTTACGAGTTAGTCAGCGAGCACTAGAAAGATTGAGCATAAAAGCCAACACACAAATATTGTATGATCATGAATTGTAAAACGTGTACACGGCGAGCACTTTATCATGTAACAGAAACACTAAATATCACTGTTTCTTTTTGTAAGTGACTCCAATGATTGCCTGGAAAAACTCACATATTCAAAACGATTTTCAGCGACAACGATCCCTTTAGTCAGCCAGGGACTTGGGAACGTGCAAAGCATAAAACAATGCCTTTAGAGCCCAGAAATGCAGAGAGGGTAATAACGTACTTTGCTTTAGCAAAAAATATGCGTCTTTGCTATTCTTGCGATGCAACCGAATTAGGTCAAAGAGATAATGACGTCAAAAAGTGCGTACGCCTTGGCAACGCTTCGCCAACGTTGGTGCTTTGCAACGCATTGGTGACGTGAGGAAACGACTTCCATTTGTCGATAATGTCAACCATGAAAAGTCCCAAGGCCACGACGCTTTGTGATTTCATTATATACATTTATTTCAAGATCGTGACACTTTGAAGAACTGTATATAAAGAGACATCTCTTGAAATTCACTTCATTCGAACCACGGGAAAACGAGTGGCAATACGCTCCATCCATCTCTAAGACAATGAAGGCTGTTGTGAGTATCTAAACATCGCTGATGCTTTTTTCTGTTTTATTCTTATATGCCTTGATTTAACTTTAATGTGTAGCGCTAAGAATCGGTGGATTTGTGAAATTTCTAAAGAATCGCTCCCCATCGCAGAACACAAACAGTATAAAATTTCCGAAGGAAAACTCATACATACTTAATCGTGTCACTCAAGCAATAAGCAGCAAAACTGAAGGTTCGAATATCACGCTCAATATATATTTTTCGTTCTTTCCATTTTTTATAATAAGTAACCAAGGGTCAAATATAATTCTGCAAAAAATTGTTAGCTGGGTTAATTTGCTATTAAGTGAGGACGTTTTTTTTTTCAATTCAAATAAATGCGAAATAGAAGAGACAACACATTGATTAATTTCGTGTCATGCTCATTCAACGTTGATAACATTCTATCGAGCAACTAAAAAGTGTATTTTCTCATTTTACACACTTATTTTAAACCGACTTTTGTACATATTCGACACATAAGTGATATAATGTGCGGACTCTTCAAAGATAGGACGATCGAGTTAGTTTTTAATTTTTACTCTCGTCAGTACCATTAGCAAGAATATCACCCATTCTAGTTGCAATCGTTATTCATAGCTTAAGAAAGGCAGGGCGTGTCACCATATGTTCACGCTTCTTCCTAATTGATTCGTTCGTCGGTGTTCCCGTCAAACAGTTAAAAGTAATACCAAAACCGGTTATGAAAAAAGTGGTGTAGTAGAGACATAGGGCGCAGACACACGGGCTACTGAAAGGAGTGATGAGGCGCAGGCGAACTGATTTAGGTTCATGAATACACCGGATGCGATTACACGGGGTGAGGTGGCCGACTGGTATTGTAGAGAAGCGGAGACCTATACGGCGGCCCAACGAACCTTCCTCGCTCATTGGCTGGTGTGCACCGTTCGCACTCATTTTTCGTCTCATCCTGTAGCCGTTGACAACTTAAGAACCATAGGACGTGGCGTATTATGCTCGTGCGTCTAGCTTCGTGATCCGATTTTGGCGTTCCTAACATTCTGATTGGCTGAGGAGCGATTGTAACATGCTCGGGAGAAGCCACTTCATGTGTTTCTTAATCTGTCAGTTACTATAGCAAACGTTCGTCAAAGAGTATCCGTCATATTGAGATAAAGCAAATCAAGACATCAAGGCAAAGACCGAGTGAAACATTGGCACTTTCAGTGCATCGAACGAGCTTTCGCTCAACAAACTCTAATTCGCTTGCTTCGTGATTTTTTTGCTTTTATTTTTTTACGTGAATGTTGTTGAGATATAGAAGAGAAGACTCACTAGCTCAAGGGGTTTGTATATGTTGCGTGTTACGTAACAAACACAAACTAACAGACTCAATTACATTTTGAAACGTAGAGTATAACGGGATCAATAATGAAAAAATATATGTCCGCTCGTTCGTCCGTAAGTTCACTTCCCCGCTACGTTTCGCAAGCAAATAATTAAACAATATACAACCTTCACTCCACTAAACGACTATATAATGACTTCTAAAATTAATGGAAATATTTCTCCTGGTAAAATATTGGCGATTATAAAGGCTTTTAACGATAAAAATAACCAAGGGACCAGTGACCGAGAGTGTTAACACGCCTCAGCTCGGAGCACGGGAAGCGAGAGCTTGCGTTGCTGAACCCAGGGATCCTGGGTTTAGCAACGCGCAATCTGCAGCAATCTGGAGGTGCATCGTACTTGCACGAAGTCGTCTATCACTACTGCGTGGTACTGGTTAAAGACCTCAGACTAGTAGTCGTACTCCACTGGTTAAATTTCCTAGAACAAAGACACCAGTCGCCCATTGTGACTGTGTAACTTCCCACTGTCTAAACAAAGTAACAACACAGTGTTTATAAAGACAACTGGTAATTATAGTCCGTTGCATCCTAAGAACGAAGGGCGAGGGTAAGACGGGCCGGGGAGGAGCAAGCAGACAGAACGCTGGAGAAGAGAGGGCGAAACCTCCTTCTCTCTTTAGCGTTCCGTCTGCTACCTCCTCCCCGGCCCGTCTTACCCTCTCCCTTCGCCCTTAGGTTGCAACGGACTATACACCTTTCCAAAAAACGCTCCTAGGCCGCCGCCATGTTGCTGATGCTGATGTGGCTGGTGCGACTGTCGCGCCCTCTATCAGCTAGAAATTTTCTGCCACTCTCTGGGACTGTGAAGACCCGCTCAGCGCGGTTCTCTACCTACGTTTTTGCGGTTTTGCATTCGACGTTTTCTCGGCTCTCTTGAAAGTTTCCACTTAATTTTTTTTTATGCGTGCTGCGTACCCTTTTTGTGTTATCTTCCATTGTGAAAAGTAAGGCTGGTAAGTGCCTATCATTCAAGCTTTTCTGCTCCACATTCACGGGAAACGAAGGAAGTGAAGGACGTCGAACGACCCTCGACGCGATTTTGCGAACATTGTTCTCCCCCCTCCCAGAGATAATCCGCGTAGAATCCTCAGTCATCTCCAAAAATAGTTGTCCGGGTTGGGGTGGGAAACGGGTCAGTCGCGTTTGTTTCTTTGCCTTGGTGCGGTTGTGAAAAAAGGAAGCTCTCCCATCTCGGATTCCATCCGATCGTCAAGATGAGACTGCCGTCGACTGTGACTGTGTTATTTGAGATCTTTCTCAAATAAATTCTTTTCGGATAACGCTGCATCGTGTGGTACGTACAATATATTTCTCGAATGTTAACACTTCCTCAATTGTATGTCCGTGTCCTGTCCATCCGTAAACACGTTATTTGTGAGCGTGAAGAATGCATGCCTTTCGGCCCTCTTCTGTTGCAATTTATATTTGACAGCAAAGCTCTTTGTCGTTTCACATGCGGCGAATCCCGCGGCGCCGTCAAAACTTATCCTAAGAAAAAAAAATAACTAGAACTAAACATTCCAGTCGCATTCGTTCAGTCGCGCGCGTACCCAACAAAAATAGTTTACAGCTTTTTTTTTTTTGCTGTTTTTGTTTTTCAAATGTGGCACAATGCTCTCTCAATGTCCTTGGGAACATACATGTACCATGAAACACAAAATATAGCGGGAAAAGACGAGAATTTAGCCGCCAGCAGCGTTTGAAACTGCGCCTACGCAGGCTGCGCGGAAATCACAGTCCCCTCGGTTAGGGTTAGGAGGGACGCCGGTGAGAGTCTAGCCTCCGACTCAGTGACTGGGCTCGAAAACGGTTTGTTGCCCCTGGGGTCGAGTGTTTTTTGGAAAGGTGTATAGTTTTCCGTGTTTTACTTTCCAGCTTCTCGTTGCCGTCTTCTGCCTGGCCCTAAGCGTGACCATGGCTGGACTCCTCAAGGGTGCCATCCTTGGCGGTCTTGGTGCTGGAGCCCTTGGCCTCGGACTGGGAGCCCTCAGCCGCGGTGGTGGATACGGAGGATACGGAGGATACGGATATCGCCCGAGCTACGGATACGGCCGCGGATTCGGATACGGAGGAGGCTTCGGCGGACCCTACGGAGGCTTCTACGGTTAAAATATGTGAGGAATAGTGTGGGATACTATATACCAGAGGTCGGCATTTTAGGTCGCCCTCACTCACCCTCACCCTCACGGCCACACTCACCTAAGCCCCTCACTCACCCTCACCCTCACAGCTAAACTCACCTTCAGCCCCTCACTCACCCTCACCCTCACAGTCACACTCACCTTCAGCCCTTCACTCACCCTCACTGAACCTCACGGCCCTCACGCACTCACCGCCCTCACGGCCCTCACCGCCCTCACGGCCCTCATGCCCCTCACTCACTCATGGCCCTCACGACACTCACCGCCCTCACGCCACTCACCGCCCTCACCGCCCTCACGGCCCTCACCGCCCTCACGGCCCTCACGGCCCTCACGGCCCTCACGCACTCATAGCCCTCACGCCACTCATGGCCCTCACGGCCCTCACGGCCCTCACCGCCCTCACGGCCCTCACGCACTCACGACCCTCACGCCACTCACCGCCCTCACCGCCCTCACGGCCCTCACGCCACTCACCGCCCTCACGCCACTCACCGCCCTCACGCCACTCACCGCCCTCACACCCCTCACCGCCCATCCGGCCCTCACACCCCTCACGCACTCATGGCCCTCACGCCACTCACGCACTCACCGCCCTCACACCACTCACGCACTCATGGCCCTCACGCCACTCACCGCCCTCACGCACTCATGACCCTCACCGCCCTCACGGCCCTCACGGCCCTCACCGCCCTCACGGCCCTCACGGCCCTCACGGCCCTCACCGCCCTCACGGCCCTCACCGCCCTCACTCACCCTCACTCATGAATTTTCCTGGTTCAGAAACTCACTCACCCTCACCTCACCTGTGAAGATGAGGGTGAGTGAGGGTGAGTGAGGGCCCTCATGAGTGAGGTTTGCCGAGGTATGCTATATACCATTCTAATAGTCGCCATCTGCGCGCTGCATCCTTGTCTACGGGGTTCTGAAAACGCGTTCTGCGCATGAGGAGTAGCTCTTTTCTACGGAATACCTGACGCCCCGCTTGTGTCCGCTTCCCAGTGAATCCGAATATTCCGCCAGGGTGACAAGCGCTGGAAAGAAGCGTACCTGCCTTGTATCAATGTGCTCGGCAATTAGAAGATACTGCTAATTTTATAATTTATAGCAATTTGTTTTCACAAAAAAAAAAAGAATTCTGTCAACCTGGGCGAGTTCTAAAAAAAAAAAGTGATATCTGCTCATTTGATGGGTTATATCATGTAATCATGTACACATGGTATCGCCTATAATTTCCGTTAATTTCTAAATTCGCCAGCTTTTTGTTTTGCTTTTTTTCAGATAATATTTTCAACGGCGCAATGATTGTTTACTTAGTGCTTTTCAAATGGAACGACGTAAAATCGACGTCTCAAATTTAGTGGGAACGTTGTTTTCATATCATTAACAAAACTGTATATGTTTTGCACTACTTTAAGCTGTTAACACTTCGTGCTCTTTGGTTCTTTGAACAAGATTGATACAGCGATTATTTATATAATGCATGTAGTTATTCTTATTCAGGAATTGTGTTCTCAATTTCAGCCTCATCCGGATATCGAACACGGACCACGGATATCTCGGAACAATCCACATGGAAGATTTGAGAAGGCCGATCCGCAAAATATCCCCCATGTCTTGGAATGCTCCATGATATAAACGAATAAACTGTACATAGCGAGCAACTTAAAAAGTGTGAATCTTTTTTTTTCTGCCAATAGATATATTAAACCGTTCGTTTTAAAGGTATTCGTGTGTGCGTGTGTGCGTGCGTGCGTGCGTGCGTGCGTGCGTGAGTGCGTGCGTGCGTGCGTGCACGCACGAACACAATGCTTATTTATACGATTTACGGGGTTTATTTATCTCCGACGGCGTTGTGCTTTCCACAGCCTCGACGGGAACCTGCTGAGCTTCAGGCCTGCTAAGCTTCCGGGGTTGCGACAGTACGGTACTCAACATTGCCTACAGCTTCGAGGTTGTTTTTGTTGCGACATCCAATGGCTATGTTAAGAATAAAAGACCAACAACACACAAATCAACACCTTCAAAGTGATTTGTGAAGCGCCCCATCAGCAAGCAGGCTGGCGAAAGGGCCTTCCCAGTGTTGCATATATCTTGAACTACATAACGCAACGTGTCACACCAAACTTGATTGCCCTGAGGGTATAGTCAGGGCGTTCTACAGTCGAATGTGAGTGTTGCTACAATCATGTGAACACTGATATTTTCAATTCTTACTATACCGAGTGCCAGGAATTGAGAAAGCTTATTGTCACACACCGATAGGACTCCGCCTCTGAAATGTCATAAACACCCCTGGTAAAAATTGGACACTTTGTGTGTGTGCTTGTGTGTGTGCGTGTGTGTGTGTGTGCGTGCGCGCGTATGTGTGTGTGTTTGTGTGCGTGTGTGTGTGTTTGCGTGTGTGTGACTTTATCATGATGAACTGAGGAGCAAAACCTTCGCTCCATAATGCAGAGTTTCCAGATCTGTCATGCCACTGATCAATAAATACACATTTACAAATTAGACTGAGTGGCTGAATTCGAATTTAAAGAACCTGAATTAGTGGGATATTCGAACGTATTGGAAAAATTACATGTAGTAGCTCTTCTCCTGGTATAAATGCAATTGGCTCTCAGAAAATCAAAAGTAACCTGCTCAAGAGGGAAACGACTTAAACTACTGCGCTGTGGAATTCGTTCAAATCTAAATTTGCTTTGTCTCACTTAGCTGCTTCGTTGGACAGTAGATTTTACTCATAGCTGTCATGCATATTTATGTTGTAAAAAAATACCACCGGCTATTTTCGCAAACATAGGGGACGAAGGACGAGGTGACGAAACAAAGAAAAACCGGGGAAACTGAAACGCTTAATGGGCGAACTTGTGCCCAAAACAAGAATTGAACAGAAGATAACAACAGAGCGTCGCGGGCGTCGAAGTCCGCGTAACAGCAGGATCGAACGCTATAGGACTAGACTGACTCCGGCTCGCCATGCGGAGTCCCTTTTGTACCCGAGTGGGTTTCTGGATTATTCGGTGTAGAAGGTTCGGTGACTAGAACATTCGTGCCTCGAACAAGCAACAGGCCTCTCTGATTTACCAGGACATTCAAACTGAAAAAAATAAAAATCCAACCCAAGGTCTTCGCACGAAAGTCCAGCGCGGTAACCCATCGGCCACGCACACGCTCGCTCGCCGACGCGCGTGGCAATATTACCTCTTTAAATGTTGTAGGAAAGCGCACACTTTTAGAAATTTTAGATATATCTCAAAACCTCCCCTTATATATTTCCCCTTCCAATGTTTACACAAACCTCAATCAAAATTACATATTTAAAAATATTGGTCGACAGTTTATGTTGTAGTTTTAACGCAACCAGTTAAAAAGAAACAGAAATAGTTCTGCAATTGAAAAAAAAAAAAAAGAATCTGAAATAGCCTTTATTTGGCTTTCAGGTATACAAATATCACAATTATTTTTCAGATTGATGCACCAATTAGCCACAAAGGCCATTTCAAAATAGAGCTGAAGTAACTCCTTCCCGTCGCGATCTGTGTGAAGAGGGAATCATCACGTATAATATAGAGAGATCTCAACATCTCCGCGCTTCCCGCAAGCCTCACCCGAGCAGTCAAAAGCGCTGTGCACGTTCCATCACAAGGGGCAGCGGAATTTAGCTGATACCTACGAGTATAACGTCACACCCAGCGGATTGTTTTTTATTATTTTTATCGTTTTCTTTCGCGTCCATTGATACATGCGGGTCAAACGCTTGCGATACTTAAATTTACATGACAAAAATACGCTAGAATACCCCTCTAACTTTATTTGAGGAACCTTTCAACTTTTTTTTTATGTAAACCACTTTCAGTTTGTCTCTGCACCCCTGACACTTGTGAGCTGGTCTCACCGTAGCAATGCTGGCGCACGCGCGTAAAGTTGAAACTTTTCCAAAACTTATCTTGAAACACTTCAAATATTCAAACTCGACCGAGCTTAAATCTCCCGAAGCCCATGACAGATGTATATTAAAACAACAAAAAATTAACATTATTAACATTCTATTGCGTTTGCGCAAGATGGCTTATTAACTTTAAATTCATGAACGAGTCATCAGATGGTATAAAGCTGTTAGAAACTAAAAAAGTAGGAAAGAAGGGGACCCTTACAAAAAATTTTAATGAATTTCTTTTAAACGTTTATGGAGTCTACTCATTGTGTCTTTTCGAGTCTCAATAGGAATGCAAATGAGTTTTGTAACGAATCCGTAAGGAGTTTACGAAAACTATTGGCCACCGCGTTCCAATTGATGTTTCGACAAAGCTACCGCATAAAGTTTCTAATGTATTTCATATGAATATAATTTGAAAGTCTATTGACACCGTTTCGAGTCTGTGTTGAAAAACAATTGATTTTTTGTAACGAGTCCCTAAGGAGTTTACGAAAACTATTGGCCACCGCGTTTCAATTGAGGTTCAGCCGTGCCGCCTCATAAGAATTTCTAATAGATTTCAATTGAAAGTCTAGATACACTGCTTTGAGTCTCTGTTGAAAATCAAATGTTTTTTTCTACCACGTTGTACTTGAGGTTTTGACGTGCCATCTCATTAGGTATATTCCGACGAGTCGGAATATACTTAATGAGATGGCCCATCAAAACCTGAATTGCAACGCAGTAGAAAATAACATTTGATTTTCAACAGAGACTCAAAGCAGTGTATCTAGACTTTAAAATGAAATGTATTAGAATTTATACTCCTAGCGTGGGTTTCTAGATAGACGGCTCTGAGGGAAGACGGCAATAGGTTGCATGACATGTGGTCCGGATCTAACCGTTGTTTTGAGGGAAGGGGAAAGTGAGTGCAAGTGTCACTTTTATGTATGCCTATATATGCATGCAGTGTTCGGAAAATGCCTGCATAAAACCGTTTGAAGGAGTAATAACTGGTTTATTAAAAATGCAAAATTCGAGTATACGGTACACTGCTTCGTGTCCATGGGGGACCTTGTACAGCCTTCGTGCCCATGGGAGACCTTGTACTGCCTTCATGTCCATGGGAGACCTTGTACTGGTAACCTATAAAGAAAAAAGATGCACAGTTACACGTTGATCTGCTTATCCAAACTTCAATGTCCGTGCAAGGCATCCTGTTCACAGCGCAGCACTACCTCAGCGCTGAATCAGTATTACAAACCGGGACATCAGTCCTTTAGGAAAGGACGACCCTCAGAACACACGATACAAGCCATGGAAGTAGTAGTGACTCGTTGCCTTAACAGGACTGAGTTAGCGCTGCACTGTATGTGTGAACCAGCCCTAAATGCGGAAAGTCACAATCAAAATTCCTTCATTTTTGCTCACCCAGGCACTTAATTTACAAACTACCTTGATAGTTTAATGAGTGGCACTAATAACATTGTCAGGGGCACCATAATGCAAAAGTATATTTTGCCCCCGAGTCTGCGAGAATTAATCGCTCACTGTTTTTGCCGCCACATTGCACTTTTTTATTTCGGCTTTTGAAAAGGTCTACCAAAGATAAGCGAGCAGATGCTATCGCTTATGAAGTTTATTAAATTTGAACATAGAGAAGCTAAGACTTATAAGCATCTCGCAGAATTAACATGGCAATTTGGGCCAACTGATCCATGATCGTAGACAAGCGCCGCAAAAAACACATGGACAATAAGTGGTGGTAAACACTGGAGCCAGTGTTTTATGTCCACTTGTTGTCCCTGTGTATTTTTATTTAATTTTTTTGTTTGTTTACTATCTTGAACAAGTATTTTTAGTCACAACGGACAGGAAGGAAACGGTAATAGGGTTCTATGCGGATCATAAAGCCATGCTCCAAATGGGTGATTATCAACTGCAGGTTTCACAACAGTGGCGGATCCAGGGGGAAGGGGGGGGGGACCCCCCTTTTTCCCCCTCTTCTCGGAGGGCAATTGGACATGAGTGGACCCCCCTTGAACAAGAAAGAATGGGAGAATAGTATCCTTAAAAATTTTCCGCCCACCCCAAAACAAACAAAGGTCTGGATCCGCCACACTAAGTTTCAATTATTGGGAGGATCGAGACATCAGAGGCCGAGTTCAAAAAGCAAACTTACAATACCCGAGAAGAAATCCGTATTAACAAAACAAAATTTGTCGCAACTTTTGAGTGACTTACAACGAAATATTACGACATTATCCAAAGTGTCTCACAAACTTTTTAGGGCAAACATGGCCGCACATCACTTGGCTATTTCGCCGCGACCAGCAATGAATATAGAAGCCTGGGCAAAAGGCATGTGTTTTGCGCACTGTTCACATGCATCCCTACTTGAAGCAGTATAAGGGCAACGCTAAACTACACACGGAGGATTCAGCCGACGAGTCTGCCGAGCTGTCCATCCTGCCCGTTAGAGCTAACAAGGCGCAGGAATGCGATCAACGGCGAGATGCGTCAATGAATCAACGAAAGCAAATGCCACACAAATCTTCAGTGCACGCAAAAGGATCCTTCAGCTATGAATGGCGTGAACCTGATTTGGTGATCATTAGCGCCCCCTCGTACTTCAGTAGTGATTTTCAAAGGGGTGAGCAGCTGTACGACCCTACCACACGAAAAGGCACATTCCTGACTGGATGTGCCTTTTTAATGCCAAAGCATTATA